GTGTAGCAAAAAGTCGAATCAATCTAAATGTTAAATATAGTTTATTGACTCTTCAGCTTCTATAGCTTATTCACTGACCCATGAAATGTGATCGCCGATTAGAGTTCTGCTCAATAATAACTCTTTAAACATCCTTAACAGTTCAAACGTCATATTTATCAAATTTAACCTCAAATAATCTGCAAGCGCTTACGCCAGGATTCGAATGAATGAAAACAATGAAAGAGGTTAAAATGCTGTTTAAGTTAATTAAATGCGATCTGTTAAACTGGGCATTCATCAATAAATTACTCATTAATGTTTATGACAGCGATCTGCCATGAAGGGTTTTCTCTAATAAAACACTCGAGTATTGTTTGCCATTAATTACTATCTTGATCGAAGTTACACGAGTGCGTGATTTACATGTACAGACTGTCCTTGCTAAAGTACGAATATATAGAAGTGTTTAAACAACATCCCCCCTGTACCTGTACAAAAGCATCAGGAGTTTGCGACCCGGAAAGCGGGCACTTCACCCACATTCAGCTGGCCGTGAACACGCGTGGAGAAACACCAGTGTTCCCTGAGTTCATTTAATATCGCAAACGGCTCGGTGACCACGTCACATTCTTCCCACACATTGCGAGCAGACGCATTTTTAATCACACCAAGATTAATTGGTCACAATTTAGTGTCAATAAACCCCTCGAGCCTAACTGTTCCCTCTTGGCGATCAGGATGAAATTCAAAATGATTCCAAACGGAAAATTACCCCATCCCTGCTTTTGCAAACAACATTGGAGAATAGGTAAGCTGTTTCTTCAATGTGGGCCTTCCTAATCACAAAGCAAAGCTTATGTGCCCTGGGCGGTAGTAAACGCCCTCTGGGGTAAGGTCCTGCTCTATATCAGTCTTGAGGGGCGATTATTGAAGGTTTCAAAGCTGAAGTCATCACAAGAGAAACTTTAGTTAGTGATAAGTTTGTTGGAAAGTCGTGCTTACTTCTAAAGAACGGAGTGTCAGTCACAGGACGGGTACACAAAGATGGCCATGAGTTTAGTAGTAAATCGTCATTTTAACCAAGTGTAATAAAACAAGAAGCAAATTTCACGATAAGACACGGTTGTAGTTTGGTACCCAAGTCAACGAATAAAACACGCTTTAGAATATATTACAATTAACTGATTCTGAATAGGATCACTTGTGTTGTGTACTGTCTTTGTACTGCAGAAGATTGGAAAACCTGTGAAACCCTTCAGTGGTCTTATCGTTTACATTAACTTTCTGCAGTTGCAGTGAAAAAACAACCCACTGCACAAAAGCTTGTCCCGCTTTCCTGAGCAGAACAAACGTTTTGCTGATTGTCTTCAATTGCAGCGAAGTGCGAGCCTGGAATACAGTGCTCAACCAATTCAGTGTGTTTGGACAAGACAAACATTGTTCTTGCCATCAACAAACTGGAGAGAGGTCATCTGGCTCGTCCCTTGTGCTGCATTCACTCTGTGGTTCTGTGACCAGATATTGATGATGGGAGAATCGTCCGCTTTGACCGAACGGACAAAATAATAGACATTGGAACACAGCAACACAACTCGCTAGCTCATCATTGTGACAGAACTGTCTGCATTCTAACGGTACCAAGTGACATTTTTTTCTGTAAAGATTGCTCAAAAGTTTCCAAATTACTTTCCTCACAATTGATTAATCCAAGAATAAGAAATTGCTATAACCCTTGAATATAATACTCCAATTAGGGATGTGAAATAAATTCTGGCCCGCCAGTGATGCCCAAGTCCCACGAATGAATAAAAAAAAATACAAGCGCACGGGAGTATGCCAACCCTTTGTTGAATTGCAGTTACATTTCTCGTATTATCCATTTTCTCTTTGGGAAGAACTTTGGCAATAAAATAGGATTTCCATTGCCTTTAGACAGAAGATGTCTTGTACTTTGAATTAATAAGCACTAGTTCGATTCGTTTTATCGTGAGGCGAATTTCTACCGAGTAGGAGTAAATCAATAATAAAGAATTAATTTATAAAATATGGAGAATGCGAGCTATTCGACAAAAAATGAATTGATAACATGTTCTGTCAACATATGCAAAAAAAAGGGGAACAACTTACAAGACATTCCCTCAACCCCTGGGCTACTCACATTTGGTTGAAACAAGGGGTTGAAATTAATGCGAAATAAAATAGATCAGTTCATATATACATATCTCCACCGAACGGGCTTAATTTCTTCAACATATGCGCAATAGTTAATTTTTTAAATAATTACTCTAAAGTTCGTTCGAACTATATTCACATAACCCCCGAAATAGACAGAGTTACAACGATTGGGAAAAAAAACTCATGTTAAAATCTGGGATTTTAATGCACTTTACAACGTTTCAAAGGTGAACAGGTCAGATCACAAAATATACTAGAAACGTGTTAGGGTGAAAATTCCAACAAATGTAAGCCATAATGGTGCTCTTAAAAGGAACCGTTAATCTAAAATAAGGTTTTACTTGTTTCATGTTGTTCAGGTGTAGTCGCTTTTAATCTTTTTAAGAACAATTATTTTGGAACTGATTACCGAAAGCTGAATTCAATATAAATGGTTGCAATTTGTCCACCGCAATCAAACTATCTTACAATGGTATTTTAAGTCATTTATCTGTATTTAACAATGTATATTTTCACTGAACTGCTAATAATGTCATCTCGTAATAACGTCTCTATCCGTTTAAAGCTTGCTAACGAAGATACAATATTTTAGAAAATATGGATATGGAAAATATGGATGATTTAAATTAATGACTGTCCATAGATTTTCTTTCTGAACTTTTTTTTGTTCTGAAATGAAATCCAGCAAAACGTCAGAAACAGTTCGACCCCAGTTTGAGTAGGGGTAATCTATTTACTGAAACAAATACATTCATTCGATTGGTATTATATCGGTCCAAACCGTCAAGTAAATTAATTATAACAAAATCTATCCTCTAATTAAAAGGTAAAATAGCGACTCTCAAATACACAGTGATTTTGAATTGGTTCAAACTTATAATATGCAAAATTTGACCGAAAGAACTCCTGAAAGATCAATAGAATATACGTGTTTATCATGCAAAACAAATCAAACTCTTCACTCTTCTTCTAAAATTCGCCCCACCCTCCCCCAGCCCAAGGTTACTATTACTAGTGGTAATGATTTGTCTACCTCCTAATTGGGATCTAGGTAGCGACTCCGATGAGTCCGGGGTGATCGTGTTGTAAAAACGATTTGGCTAAGGTATTATGGGCTATTTCACGGTGAACAGTTAACAAATCCTACAGCATGCTGACAGGGGACAGGCCAGGCTGCTGAACCGGGGCTTTCCTGCAGGGCCAACGGCTGGAATCCCAAAGCCACCCCACTGGGAGAGCAGGATTGAGGCGAGATTAATCAGGGACTAATTCAATTTACAACAGCCCATTTATTCAGCCTCCCTTTTCAAGCGGAGCCTTTGCAGCAGCATTGTATAAGCAAATTTGCATAGTCTAAATCTGTAGTTGGGCTGAACTGTGATTGCCACAATAACAGGTTCTTGATTTTCTCCCCCTTACTTTGCTACCACGATCATTAGGTTGACAACAATGTACATTCAAAACGTGTTGGCTTGGTTTATGTAGATACAGAAAAGCTGCTACTTTTCACACACACACACACACACACACACACACACACACAGTTTTCCAGTTACAAAGGCTGGAATCGCCTTACAGATAATTCCTAACACCCTTTATAGTTTATTTTAAGACTGCCTGCATAAAGATATACTTTTGGAAACTAGTTCCTGTTTAACACTTTTATGTCTGGGTGAGCACGTTTTTCATTCAGCAACTTTTTTTGGAATGTGTTTGGAAGAGGCCTTGCACTAGCTCCAAGTTTAACAATTTCCTTGCAGTGTCAATCATCGTTTCCATGTGAATTTGTGGTAGCCCTTTGTGTTGTAACAAAACTGCTGGGGAATGTCTTCCTCGACCATTATGACACGCATTAACATTTTAATTGCACTTTTTGTAGTTGTATCTTGATATCCGTCTAAATTCTAGACCAACAAAGTGTGTTTCTAAATGACATCAGGTTGAGCCTTTGACAGTTCTGCGTGGCCTACTGATCTGGGAATTGGTTCGATGCATTATTTGGGCGTTGCTTGTTATGTTTCAGCTCAAGCACAGTTAAATCAGCGACAGGTGTCTACTGGAATCGAACTATTTGTGGGAGCGTAGATATAGCGTAAGGTACAGCGTGTCTCTCATCTCCTCAACTCCCACCCCACATTCTCCAGATACACACTCGCAGAAGTAATTTGAATATGTATGTATTGGCTGTTCCCTGTAATCAATCAAACGATTGCAAATGAACAAGTATTTTAGCTTTCACAAAGTAGAAAAGGGTGGGGATAGCTAAAATTACAAAATGTACATCCGGCGAGATGCTTAAATCGCGCTGATCCGCAATTTAATACAACACCCAATGTTTATAAATTGAGCGTCGAGTAAAACATATGCGGTGTTTTGCTTTTCTATAAGTTTCCATTGCACTCCCGCCATGGATTTGGGAAGGCGAGATACAAATATGTCTGCGAAAACAGTAAAAATGTGAAATGATTGGTGGAGTCGATGGGCAATGTACATACAACTGCCTCGACAAAGATGAGTTAACAGTACAGCCGCAGTCGGCCCACTGGGAACAGAACGGCATGACAGCGTTTATTACCGGGACACTACCTGCCAATTTACTGTGATTTGCGTTCACACCTATAATTTCCACTGCACAAGAGATTACATATTTGGGAACATAATTCCACGGCAGGTTTTTATTTGGCATGTTCCATTCCGTCCGGGCCATCCCTATTGTTAGGCACACTGAAGTTCTTTCGTCGATTTGAAAACAAAAATTCTTCATCTGAGAACCTCCACACACTATAGAATCGGGCTACAACAGTTTGAAGGGGACGTGTTAAATGATTGCAGAGGCTGTAAACAGTCTAATTGGGCTCGTTCTGTGGCTAGAGCTCCATGTGAAAGGATGCCTGCTTGCTATTGATAAACTACCAGTGGATGTCGTTGTTTTCGCTCCCTGTGTGTGTGCAGTGACACTCTCCGTCAGGGCACAGGATGACCTCGAGCTAGCAGGAGTTGTTCACGTCATTCACTTTCTATGCAGACACAAGGCGTAGAGACAGAGTCCCAAAGGAAAGGGAGACTCTCCTTGATACAGGGGCTACGGGAATGACGGATGAACGCGGTAGAAAGCGCTTTCCCAGCTGAAGAAAGGGGCATCGGTTTTTGCATTGTTCTGCTTTCAATCAAAGCGTTTTTTTTTCAAAACAGGTAACACTCTGCACAGAACATTCACCGCAAGAATGTAAAGAAATCTGCAAACTTCATTTTACCCGTTTTGGTGAACAGGTTTTTGTTTTACTGCTATTTCAGTTTGTGCAACTGATCTTTCCGCGTATTGTTTTTTTTCCCCTCTCTTTCTTTCTTAACTAGGATCCTTCGTCACGGAAATCGAGGCAGCACTGTCAAGGCAGAACAAAATGTTGTGGAGTTTCTGGGAGTTTGTGTGCGTTTTTGCGGGTTTCGGTTGCCTGGCGGAGGGAGTCCGTGGGGGTTATGGCATGAGCATGTTTGCAGCCCAGCAGACGCCCCCCGACCCCTGCTACGACGAGAACAGCAGCCCGAGGCGTTGTATCCCCGACTTCGTCAACTCGGCATTCGGCAAAGAAGTGAAAGTATCCAGCACTTGCGGTAACCCCCCGTCCAGGTACTGCGTGGTGACCGAGAAGGGGGACGAGCGCTTCAGGAACTGTCATATCTGCGATGCCATGGACCCCAAAAAGGCTCACCCGCCAGCCTACCTGACCGATCTCAACAACCCCCACAACCTGACATGCTGGCAATCGGAGAACTATATCCAGTACCCCCAGAATGTCACCCTCACCCTCTCGCTAGGCAAGAAATTCGAAGTCACGTACGTGAGCCTCCAATTCTGCTCGCCGCGTCCCGAGTCGATGGTCATCTACAAATCCATGGACTACGGCAAATCTTGGGTCCCCTTTCAGTTCTACTCGACCCAGTGCAGAAAAATGTACAACAAGCCCAACAAGGCTGTGATCACCAAGCAGAACGAGCAGGAGGCGATCTGCACCGACTCCCACACTGACATGCATCCATTCACTGGGGGCTTGATCGCTTTCAGCACCTTGGACGGTCGCCCCTCGGCTCACGATTTTGACAACAGCCCTGTCCTCCAAGACTGGGTGACCGCCACCGACATCAAAGTGGCCTTCAGCCGCCTCCATACCCTCGGGGATGAGAATGAAGACGATTCGGAGCTCGCCCGCGAGTCCTATTATTACGCCGTCTCCGATCTGCAGGTTGGAGGCCGTTGCAAGTGCAACGGTCACGCTTCCCGGTGCATCAAGGACCGGGACAGTAACCTGGTTTGTGACTGCAAGCACAACACCGCTGGCCCGGAGTGCGACAGATGTAAACCTTTCCACTATGATCGACCCTGGCAAAGGGCCACCGCCAGAGAGTCCAACGAGTGTGTGGGTAAGAGAACACTTTCCATCTATTTTAAAGCGAGATATTTATATTGTCCAACAGAAGTTAAGACGAAAAATAAGAATTATTAGCCGGAGAAGCCAGTGAACTTTGGAATAAGGGAGAGCTTTCAGGAAATAAAGGGGTCGAAAACCTTGCCCCTTTCCAATTTCCGACAGACATCTAGCTTTGCACTTTAATCCGATTCAAGTATTTATATGATTCAAGCAGATTACTTACATAAAGTCAAAATATTACGGGCGTTGGACATCTGAAACACAGAATCCTGGAGAAAATCAGCAGGTCGGGCAGCATCTGTGGAGAGAGAAACAGAAGAAACTTCTTCAGAACAGGCCGTTTCTACAGAATTGACTTCAGAATTGGACTCGAAACGTTAAACTCTGTTTATCTCTCCGCTGATGCTGCCAAACCTGTTGAGTTTCTCCAGGATTCTCTGAGATTCGTTGCATCGCTTTCTATTATTTATAGTCCAGATTCATTCCTTTATGAGTCTGCAGATTGCAGGTCTGTCGTGTGGTTTGTAAACCTTGTAGCGATAAAAAAATCTGTGTTAATTATCAACTCCAAGCTCAACCAACCCGCCCGTTTGATCTGTTCATTGACTTTATTATAGGCGGGAGATATTGTGGAGCAAAGGACCACTTCCTTGCTTTCTGCTCCCTGTTAATATCTGGGCAGCAACCGCCTGCCGACCATTTCCTTACCATCAGGTTACCAAAGTTAACCCGAGGCTCGGAAACTCTCATTTTCAGCATTTAAATGCCGCTAATTCTAATCGTATTGATATTCAGGAGAAAGAAATCTTACAAAGTGTGATTCACGATCTCCAAGAATAACACATATCAACCATCAGTGCAGACAGTGTCAAACTGGCAATAAATCACATTACATGCGCTTTAGAAAGACAGTGGAAATTGATGTGGTTTAACTCAATGCCGATAAGATTCACAAAGGCTGCTTTTCAGATCCAAAGGCGAACAATAGGAATGACCAGAATCGAGTTAACTATACAAAAAGAGCTAATTGAATACATTATTGGTCATCAATAACCCTAGTGTCGATAAATCAATCGGTTCTCAATGTATATCTGTTACTATTTATAGATATGAATTTGCCTTGAACTTGAGACACTCACTCAAGCCAGATATTCAAAGGTGAAAGCATATAGGATAGACACTTCGCTGCAGCACAAAATTATTGCAATTGCGAGCTATTTCTGAGAAGGCTTTGGATCAATAATGTCGAGAGAAATCATTGACACAAGTCATCCATTCACCAGTAGTATCATTGAAATTGCAACTCTCAGTATTCAAAATGTTTGGTTTAGAACCGAGCTGCTCGATTCTGAGGCTCTGTTTGGTGAGGTGCAGTTGACACAAAAACGCGCCGAAACTTCATCACCATGAAGTGACGCGCTAGTTTGACTGATTCAATTGTAATCCAGGGAAATCTGGAGAGTGTTTTTTTTAACATCGGATAATCCCACATTGCCACGAACTCTGCCATCCCAGAGGGAGATTCAGACCCACCCTGTCATTTACCGGCGCTCACTATGATGAAAGGATTTATAATTTTACAACTACTGTACAATAAACTTTGCGTCTTTGATGTCTCCTTTGAGGTGATCGGTTTTATTGCTCCAAGCCCCACAAATCGGGGCAATCTGGCTGTTGTTTTCATGGGTTATTATTTACTTATTTATTTTCATGTAGGGAGTTGCCCATTTAGCTGGAGTTTCGACCTGAAGCAGTTACCAGTTTGCCCAAGCCAGTTTAAGTTCTGTTTTAATTAATTGATGCTTACGTGGATTTGTTTAGACATGTATAACCTAAGGCGAGAACGGTTTAAAACGGGTCGGGTAGAAAGTGATTGCTTCCGGTCGTCTCCAATGCATCATCAGAATTTTCGGGCAAGAACATTCAAATGAAACATGTACTTAAATATAATGAAATCGGGAAGTAAATAGTTATTGAAGCACATTCAGAAGTTCACTTGCATTTTTTTGACATTAGTTGCTAATAATGAATAGATACCGAGCCACTCAATGTCCCATGATCAAACTGGCAAACACAAGATTGAGAAGGTTCTGTTAGAGTGTACAGGATGTGCGTCCACTGGACAGATTTCACTCCATACGGCGATCTGAAGGGGCTCGCCCCCGGAGCGCCTGGCTATTCCTGTTCAATGACGTGAGGGCCGTGCTGTCGCTAAGATGTGGGGATCAAAGCTGCTCTAGATACGAATACAGAGGCGCGAGAAACGACAGGGTGGGGAAGAGGTGGAACACAAGTAATAAATACATCAAGGAGATGCTCTCCACAGACGCTGTCAGACCTCCTGCCCATTTCCACCACTTTCTGTTTTCATTTCAGATTTCCAGCACCCGCAGTAGTTTTGTTTTTATTAAAACAGAAAGGAATCTGAAAGTAACGTTGCGTTCAGGATGCCTGTCTTGGAAATACTGTGCAACTGACCCACTTCGGTGCAGTGTGTTTCTGTCATTTCAACACACAGCCGAATGTTTCAGCTAGGCTTTTTCTACCTGGCGGTTCTCTGCCGAAAATACAGTTCAGGTTTATCGACCGCTTCTACTTCTCCAGTGCCAGGTCTACCGAGTAGCCGCTTCATTGTTTACTCACCCTTGACGCAAATTGGCTCACGTTACGAAGAGGAGCCAGCGTGTCTTTTCCTAACCCACGTTGTTCCCCTATGAATAAGAAGCAAATACATATCAGGCCAGATCTGAATTGTAGAGTTCAATTTTTCATTGGTTCTGACAGGGAATCATTGCATACAATAAATTCCTAAGATCTATACCCTATTTCTTCCTCAATTGTGTACATTGAAACAAAACAGTAACGCCATGAGATCCATTATTTCATATAGTTTGAAGACAGGATTTCATATTTCACTTTTATTTTGGTTGAATATGTTTTGAGAATGTATTAATCCGCCCGTTTACTACGGAATGCTTTGTCGATTTGGAATAAACAAAGTTCCTTTCAAGCGGCGAGGCTATCAGCGCCGCGGTCTTGTTAACCGCTTGGATCTGCTGAAGTATCTCGCTTCATGTCCTGAAGTTCAGTTGCAAAAAAAGAACCGGTTGTACCCGCCCCAAAGAACGGTAATACAAGAGACTGGTCACGGGCTGAGAAGAAGCGCCTTGCTGGTTTAGGCAGACAGTACGGGCTTGTCAATGACACACCTTTGGGACAGGTGGGATTTGAACCTGGACTTTCTGCCTTAGAGATAGGAATACCATCACTGCAACAGCCTTACTGCACTGGGTTTATAGGAAGAGGCTCAGCCTAAGACGGAAACGTGAATTGGATTTGGAAATATCCAATGTCAGATCGGTAAGCAGTGGATGAAATGGACAGTGTGAAACCGACAGGACCCAGTTCTGATTTGCGGAGAGCTGCGAGGTTAGCTTGAATTTCGCAGTTCCAGCGTTGCGCATATAAACCCCTCGCAGCTGAACCGTCTCATGGGGTGGGGTGGGGTGGAGGAGTGGGGGAGTGGTATAATGACTTCTCATTTCTGTTACGGTGACAATGGCAGTGACCGTGCAGAAAACAGCTCCAGTGAAAAGACCCTGGGCACACAAAGCCGGAGTGGGGGGTGCTTTTCACGCTTTTATTCGCTTCTTTTCGTGGCTCTGACAAGTTGCGCAAGGCCCACGGCTGTCGCTGAAATGACAGAATGGGAGGAGGGGCAGGAGAGCGAGGGATCTGGAAAGTGCCTTGCGATTTTCTGGCCGCCGGCTTCTGCTTTAGATGAAACACATTTTGAGCAAAAGACGTTGGCCAGGGAGAGAGTGGATGGAGCAGGTGCGCCGATACATCTGGGCCGAATACTTGTGGTTCTCACTCGAACTCATAAAGAGACTCAGTCAACCTCCCTAATCAGCTTCTCAGCACCACCCTCAAACATCTACCTCTCCCTTTTAAGAGTTGTCGAACAAGTGAACAATAAAAAGTTAACAGTTATGTCAATAACATTAGCAAATTGTTTTACTGTTACGTTGCTCTTTACCTTCAAATTAAACGTTTGACAATTCAACATCTCCATTCGTCTTTCTCTCACTGGTTAGAAATAGCACCAAATGCATATAATAATTAGCCTATTGGTCTATTTGTAAACAAATAGACGTTACGTCGTCACCAAGTTCCAGTGCATCCGGTCTTTGGAAAATGATTAACTTAGTATTTATTTTAGGCCTTCCAGGAGGCGATTCTGAGTAGGCTAACCTTAAACTGCCAAAATATACTGCCCCCCGTGGAGATTACTCAATAATATATATAAGCGGAGCGGTATGGTTCGCTATCAATCAATACTAACGCAGAGCTCTTGTTTCACCATTGCACAACAGTGAGATCCTAACAGGGAAAAAGAAGTTTTTATTTTCTGTCGAGTTTTACGGGCCAACAATAAAAGTGGTGTTGGCAAATTAGAACAATCCTGTTTCCAACTGTTTCAACCAAAAACGGTTAGTAGCTCTTACACGCCACGAAAAGCGCATTTACTTTATATATACTGTGACTTGGAAAATGCGGCATTTTGATACAGCCGGCGCAATATTAGACAATGGTGATCGCGTCAAAATCCTGGTACACCATTCCTTATAGTATCACTTCAAGAAGCAGCTCACCACCTCCTTCTGAAGGGCAATTAAGGATGGGCAAGCCTAGCCAGCAATACCCACACCCCATGATCAAATATATAAAGTATGTATAATAAGTGCAGACAAAGTATCCTGTCAGCATCCTCGCAAAACAAAAATCAGCACCCTCAGGCCAGCCACAGATAATCGGTGATTTTGTGCAGCAGCTCCTGCTGTTACTGAGTAAATTAAGCAGTTACGTACCACATAGCAAGATCCCAACTAGACTGAAACATTTATTTGGTTGGGGGACTACATGTGCTGTACTTCTTTCCCCTACTTCCATAGCTGTAAGTCGCTGACAGCATGCTGATCGTCTAGCGTT